ACAACCTTGGCATACAGGGACAATGTTCTAACCAACTGAGCTACTCTGCCAAGGCTTTTTTATATTTTCTTAACTAAGAAAACCTTAATAAGGTGGTTTTCCAAGACCAATTCCTGCAATTATCATTCCAAAGCATGTTTTATTGCCTACAATGAAAGATAATTTTGTGTGACTTGATTTTATTATTTTTAGTCTTAAGACTATCCCTTTGCCAAAACCGGTTTGGCTCAGTGGTAGAGCATCGGTCTGTGGACTGAAAGTCCCAGGTTTGATTCCTGTCAGGGGCATGTACATTGGTTGCGGGCACATCCCTGGTGGGGGGTGTGCAGGAGGCAGCTGGTCGATGATTCTCTCTCATTGATGTTTCTAACTCTCTATCCCTCTCTCTTCCTCACTGTAAAAAATCAATAAAATATATTAAAAAAAAAAAGACTATCCCTTAATTTCATCCTAATCCAATTCATTTCATATCAGCAAGAATCACCAGATGATAAAGAGTAATAATGAAGAGAAGATTTCTCAAACAAATAAACCACTAAGTCCCTGAAAATACTATCTAAAATAAGACAAGGATCAATTAAATAAATTAGCAAGTGAACATGGTTTTATTCAAGAATCTATTTCTAGATTATTTTATTTTTTTTAATCTTAAAAGTTTTTATTTTTTATCTTCACCCAAATATTTTGAGAGAGAGAAACATTGATATGAAAGAGAAACCATCAATTAGTGATTAGTTGATTCCCTGATTGGGAATCAAACCAGCAACCTTTTTTTTTCTAACTGAGCCACCCAGCCAGGACTTAATTTTTTGAATGTTGTTTTTTCCATTCAATTATTTATTTCCAATTTTGGTCATCTCATTTATTGCAAGTTCCTCTTTTACTAGTTGAAAAAAATCTACTCAAACTTATTTTTAATATAACTTCTAATTTAATTTTCATGTCATTCCACAGTGAATACTATTATCCCTTATTTTACATGAGGAATTTCTATCTAAGTCATTAAATAACTTTTTCAGAATAATTCTGCTATTGGGATTGAGAGACCAAGCATTTAACTCAACAGAGACATACCATAAAGTTCAAATGACCATTTGGGTGCAAAATTTTACAAATAAAATTTTGATTGAATGAGATTATTACCCTCTAGATAACATAAACTTTATTGTGAGATATAAAAAATTTCACTTGGCCAAACTCTTTTAGTAACAAACACACAAAAAATTAAAATAGGCATTAAACTCAGTTTTATTTCACTGAAACATGTTATATGAGTAAAGATGTGATTGTTTTTCACCAAAGTGTCTATCAATTGCCAAAGAGTTAGACATCCCCTCACACTTGTGGTCTTTTACATAATCACATCAAACACCTCAGAGAGGAATGGTGATAATCTAGGTCTAGATTAGGAAACCTTGGTTTAGTGTCTTACTTATTTCCATTCCCTCTAGAATTTCCTCCTAGTTGGTGGGATCAAAAAAGCAATGTTATAACTACTACTTTCATGATATGGTCTCCAGATGGCTGACTAAAATTTATTCCATCACCTTGAGGTTATTCAAGTTATTTCAGGCAGAACTGGAGGAGATGGGGGTCAAACATGCAAACATAAAAGAGCTTATTTGAGGATATAAATACTTTTGCATATTGGAATCTTTGGTAGGATTGTATTTTTCTAAAATAAGAATATGGATGTTAACAAAGATAGATGCTAAGAGCTTTTGATTGTGTTCTGGGGTTATTTCCTTTCTTGTTTATCAGAATTCGAATCTAGGAAAGCCATATTTCCTTGTTAGATGCCTGAGTTCTGCTTGGCATATCTGACCTTCAGCAGTAGAAGAGTTATGATATCATCAAGGACATTGACTTGGCTTTTAGCTAATGTAAAAAATATCTTTGAAAGGATATATATTTTAATAGACATCAAATAGACATTAAAATTATAAAAGTATATTAAAATCTGTTAATGTCTATTTGAATATGCATGGGGACACTTAGAAGAGCATTATATTAGTCTAGTTTATGTTATACTTCATAACCAAAGCAGAGATTTATATGATTAACAAAGGTAGATACTGAGTTTATATATATATATATTTTTAAAATATATTTTATTGAATTTTCTACAGAGAGGAAGAGAGAGGGATAGAGAGTTAGAAACATCGATGAGAGAGAATCATCAACCAGCTGCCTCCTGCACACCCTCCTCTGGGGATGTGCCTGCAACCAAGGTACATGCCTTTGACCAGAATCGAACCTGGGACCTTTCAGTCCACAGGCTGAGGCTCTAACCACTGAGCCAAACCGATTTTGGCTGAGTTTATATTTTAATTAGTTTAATAGGCAAACCCCCCACAAATCTAAAGGAATTTGTAAAAATATAAAACTCTTTCAGCCGGCGTGGCTCAGTGGTTGAGTATCGGACTGTGAACCAGGAGGTCATGATTTCATTTCTGGTCAGGGCACATGCCCTTTATTATAGTATTTAAGACAGAAGTCATGGTCACTCTCTACCATTGATATTTCAATATCAAAAAGAAATATTTGATGAATGGCCTTTTTCTGACCTTCAAGAGCACCCCTTCCACAAATCATCACATGCTCCCTATCTAACTAAATTCATTTGTGTCTCAAACATGGTCCCTCCTTTTGGCCAAATGAGTTATTATTTCGCCTCTTTTTTTTTTTCCTTCTTTGTTTCCTCCTTATTTGCCCACACCCTATTGCCATAACTCTTTGTACCTCATTTGGTCCCTAGTCCTATCACTATGGCTTGGCAAGTCACTTTTCCCATTTGCAATATCTTCCCTTTGCACCATCCATGCATATGGTTCCTTCCTTTAAATATAACTCTCTTCTTTGAGAAATATGTGATTCTGTTCCATTCTCAGTTACTTTGTCCATGCAAGCTTTTAGCAGTATACTAACTTGGATTTGTTGATATGTTGTCTTGAGGTACATGCTGTCTGTTTTTTTCTTGTTTTTATTTTTTTATTTTTTACTTGTTATGTTTTATCTCCTAAAGGAGATTATAGACTCTTTAAGGAATGTCTTCTAAAAATTACATCTACCCTAAGTGCCTAGAACAATGTTCACCCCATAAAAAGTGCTGAAGAAAAGTTATTGCTCAATTGTTTGGCTTGCTCAATTTTCTGTTCCAGGGAAACCAGTACAATATACTTTGAACATCTTTTACGTCTTCAAAATAATGATAACGTGAAGACTGCCAAGTTGTAACAATTTCCACATCACTTGATTATTTATTTTAAATTGGTAGAGAATGAGTGATGACCACAAAAGTTATGTATGCCCTTGAAGGGAGAATGGTGGTAAAGTCAAATATATTACCTTATTCAAAAAAATCAAACAGGGGTGGTTAGGGTTAAGTGGAAACTTAGGTTTATTTTTAGTTCTCAAAGAGACTCATTAGGGAGCTTCACTTGAATATCAAAGCCTCTAGCAAACTCATGATGCATTTGAAGGTACATAAAGACAGATGTGATGTAAACTTTAAATTCCCACTACACATTTACAACTCCCATCAGTACCTTCGAAAAATTAGAGCATTAGAAAACACATAAATATAGCCGATGGGTTGGAGAGAAGTCTCTAGACAGCTTACGACCCAAGCGTGGAGAGGGCTGGTTTGTTTTCAATCCATCTGCGGGTCTCGGATTAGATTCAGCACGCTGGCCAGCTCCGCTCTCGGCGGATTGATTGGCCTTGGAGCACAGGGAGGAAGGCACCATCTGCTGCTTTTGAATTAATAGATAACTGGGAGCCAGGGATGAAGACGGTGCGACAGAGTCATCGTATTAGATGTTGATGCCAACGAGTTTTCTTTTTTGGGGGAAGGGAAAGACTTTGTCTAATCTCGGGGTCCCCACGCCTCTACCCAGATCCTCCAGCGAGCTAGAATGGAGAAAGGGCTGAAAACCAGAAACCCTTCTATTTCTCTGCTAGGCTCATCAGGAAAGAAAGTGTTCCCAGTTCTTGGAATTGAAGGATGTCCATCATAGCTTTTTGTTTTTTTTTCCTATTTAAATGTCCACCATAGCTTTTTTTCTACTTAAATGTCCATCATAGCTTTTTTTTCCTACTTAAATTAGTTGAGCTGCAAGGCTGATACACAAACCCTCCCTAATCTGATCACTTTTAACAAAAGCGAGCATATGTAAAGCCAATTGCCGGGGTCCGAGTTTACACAGGTGGGACACATACCCTGCCCACACGAAAGGGGGCAGGCGCTTTACCACGCGGCATCTCGCTGGCTTCCTCTTAGTGAGACCTCTGCATTGAGCCTCCTCGCTATCAAGTCATCACTGGCTAGTGTATTTCTTCCTCCCTCCAGAACTTTTGTCCTGGGAGGTGGGGGAGAGAGGTCGGGGCAGGGAGAGAGCTGAGGATCGAGGAGGAAACTGTCCACAGAAGGAAGGGGAGGAGAAGAGGGTAGGAAAGCCTTAGGGTCGGCACTGAAGCTCTGAGGCTTCGGGGTCGCTCGCGCTCTCTGGCTCCAGCCCTCCGCAGCCGCCCTTTGCGCCACGGACACTGGAGAGTTAAGCCAATAAACACGTAAGCGCCGCTCCCTCCCCAATCGGCAAGTTGCCTCTCCGGCTCTTGGCTGCATCGACAGCTTGCAACACTCGGCATCTTTCCTGCAGGCGCCTCCTTCCGCGGCTGCAGATGGCATTCGGCTGCGGGCTCCGGGCTTGCCGTTGACTGTCCCCCTTTGCCCACCTCGGGCCCCGGACGCACCTCTCTCTCTCTTCCCTTCCTCCCTTCCTCCCCTCGCGCTCCCGGCTTTGGGCGCAGCTCCGGATCGCCGGGCGGAGGAAGCAGTCGCGGCGGCCGAGGCTGAGCTGTAGGGCGCTCGCTCGCTCCCTGATTTGGGGAGAAGCGCCCATCCGGGAGAGTCGACCCCCAGCTGCCTCCAGCGCCCCCATCTCTTGCACCCCAAGTCGAGGCTTCAGGGGACCCCCCCCCCTTCTCCAGGCGGCACCATGCTGGACCCCTCGTCCAGCGAAGAGGAATCGGATGAGATCGTGGAGGAGGAGAGCGGCAAGGAGGCGCTGGGCTCGGCCGCGCCCGGCGCGCGCCTGTCCCCCAGCCGCACCAGCGAGGGCTCGGCTGGCGGCGCGGGGCTGGGGGGCGGCGGCGCGGGCGCCGGGGCCGGTGTCGGCGCCGGCGGCGGGGGCAGCGGAGCCAGCGGCGGCGGCGGGGCCGGGGGGCTGCAGCCCAGCAGCCGCGCCGGCGGCGGCCGGCCCTCCAGCCCCAGCCCGTCGGTGGTGAGTGAGAAGGAGAAGGAGGAGCTGGAGCGGCTGCAGAAGGAGGAGGAGGAGAGGAAGAAGCGGCTGCAGCTCTACGTGTTCGTGATGCGCTGCATCGCCTACCCCTTCAACGCCAAGCAGCCCACCGACATGGCCCGGCGGCAGCAGAAGGTAGGTGCCGCCGCCCGGGAGGCCCAGCGGCAGGCGGCGCCGGGGAGCCGCCGGGCGGGCGGGGCGGACAAAGGGAGCCGGCGGCGCCGCGGGCGGGCGGGGAGGAGCCGGGGGTGGAGACCGCGCCCTGGGGAAGGGGCTGCGCGGCCGGGATCCCGGAGGGGTCTGGGGTGCAGCGCCGCGCCCCGGGCCTCCCCGGTGGCCCCGGAGGCTCCGGGAGGGACGGGCAGCCTGGGCGCCCACAGAGGCCTGGCTCGCCCGGGGCTCCGGCACCCTCCGGCGGCGGCGGGCGGCGGCTCTCCACTCCAGGCCCGCCCTCCGGGGCGTGCGCTCCCCGGCGGAGGCGCCGGCAGGTGGGGGCGCCCGAGCGGAGCCGGCGGAGCGCCTCGGTGCAGCGCTGGGCTCTGGGATGCTGAGAGCCACCGCCGGGCCGGGCGGGAGAGAGCGAGCTCGGAAGACGAAGCTTCCAGTCTCACCGGGAAGGGAAGGGCACCCTCCTCCCTCCCCCGGGTCAGCAGATCGCGACTGGAGTCGCCTAAGGGACCTGGGGCACCACTTTCCTGGGTGCCCTCCGATCCCCCGTCTTTTCCCTCACGAACCCCAAAGCAGGGCACTCCCTCTGGTCCTGCTGCCCGGGTCAGGCCCTCTGCCGTCCTCCCCATGGCCCTCTTTGCCTCCCAAGGTGACTTCGCCGCGACCTTCTGGCTTTCCGAGGCCCTCGGTGCCTGGCCCCTAAAATGCTCCAGCAAAAAAGCCTCGCAATGACAAGCTTGGGAAGCTTTGTGTCTGAGGTTGGAGCCAGGCTGAGCGGCCTTTGATGTGAGAAAAGCATCTATTTCTATCCGCTGCTCTCCAGCCCGAGGAAGGAGGGGGTGGCGCCTGCAGGAGGAGGGGCCAGGGGAAGGAAGGGGTCAGCGCCCAGGTGGGGTGAGCCAGGGGAGAAAGTCAGCGCTGTGTGTTGTCTCCTCCCTCCGCGAATGTGCAGCACGTGAGCTCCCAGAACAGCTAGTGAAGGCCCGGAGGGGCTCTGTGCGGAGCCAGCTCCAGCCCCAGCGAGGTTGTGAGACCAGTTTCTTAAAATCGTGAATTTCTGGTTGCTGCCAGTTAAGACTGAATTTTATGTTGCTGTAGTAGAGTCCGAGGACTTCCTATATTTATCCACCCTTATCTTGAGCGAGCCCAGGTTGCTCTGTTTGCTTTGCTCACATTTGTACACACACCAGCCAGCACTGATGATGTATTCCAGCTAGCTCAATTTTGAGGACCAGTTTTATTAAAAAATAAAACTCATTTCCTGGTTGAGAAATAGCAGGTGGATGACACACTTCATTCTCCACCTCCCCCCAACCCCCCCTACCCCCCATCACTAGCTTCTTGCTTTTCAACCTGTATTTGGGACTACAGTAGAGCAAAAGTACCCTCCGAACAGTCAAAGTTTCCTGGGTATTCTTTTAATATTGGGTGATGGGGCCTGATATTTCAGGTTTCAGCTTGGAATTATGGTAACTGTGTCTTTATTAGCAGGGGAAATTCCATCTTTAAAAATCTATCCCATTAATAAATCACCAACCATCAAAGATGTCCTAGTTTTGGCAATGAAAACTGTTGTGATTTACAGAACAGACAAGAAACTTCCCTTTATCAAGCAAAAGGCTCCTGCTTGCGCTGTCCTTTAGATAGATGCTGACATCCAGCACTAGAATGAGAGAAATCTGTTCTCACAGAGACCCGCTTGTAAACAACAGCCAGCCACCTGAGAAAGATTATAGTCAGCCACCTGGGAAAGATTATCCAGAGGCTCAAGTCGTCTCATCTGATTGTACCTTTTACCTGAATCCATTCAAAGCTGTGCTTTTGAGGAGCAAGAGGGTTTTGGTTTTACACATGACCTTAACATCAGAGAGGCCACAAAAACAGATTGATAACACTGGCATTTGATCAAACTATTTTTAGTTATCGCAACAAATTAGTGCTAATACACATCCTAGCAAAGCTGCCTCAGGACTGTTGGCTGTCATAGAAAGCTGAGTATCTATCTTCTTATTACAAGAGAAGCCAAACTTTTCTATAGCTTTGTTTTTAGAATATTCCTGGAATAGGGTGTTTTGCCATTTTTCCCCTTCCCCCTAGAAAGCTTGGAACTTTTAATGAAATAATAAAAAAAAAAAAAAAAAAAAAAAAAAAGGATCCTGGCCAGTGTTGCTCAGTGGTTGAATGTTGACCCATGAACCAGGAGGTTCCCCAGTTTGATTTTTGATCAGGGCACATGCCCGTGTTGCAGGCTTGATCCCCAGTAGAGGACATAGGGGAGGCAGTTGATTGATGTTTCTCTCTCATCCATGTTTCCATCTCTCAGTCCTTCTCCCTTTCTCTAAAATCAATTAAAAAAATTAAAAAGAATTGTAAATGACCCATCATTGAAAGTAACTAAACTGCATAATTACTGTGGTAAAATTCAAATCCAACAAATAAGAATGATGAACTAATATTAGTCTTGGAGAAATATAAACAAGTTATTAACTAAATATGAGTTTGTAGTAAACTGGATATGAATGAACTAGAATTGATGTGGAGAAAGGGAATAGAGTGACATGGAGGGAGAGAAAGAAAACTGCCTATGAAAAAGAGTTGCTGAATTGGGAAAAAAGAAGAGATCATATCAAATCATCGTACTATGTGCCTTCAACTTAGACAATGTTATATGTCAATTATCTCAATAAAGCTGGGGATAAAAATAAGATTATATCATACTGCATATGATGCACATTACAAAACCAAAGAGTCTATATTTATAATACTTATTTTTCAAGCACCTACTATGTGCAGGACACTTCACTTAGGTCATATTTAAAAATAGACTATATATATATTAGAAGTTTTAGATTTACTAAAACATAGAGAAAACTGTACAGAAAGTTTCTATGTAATCCTCACCTAGTTTCCCCATTATTGATATTTTACTGTAATATGGTACATCTGTTACAACAAAGAATCCATATTGACACTTACTATTAACTAAAATATATAGTTTATTCAGATTTTCTTAGTTCTTACCTAAATTTCCTTTTCTGTTCTTCGGTCATTTTAAATTAACCCTAACAACATAAGGGAAACCATCCTCATTTTTAGAAGGGAAAACAGACTGAGAGAGGTTTTGTAATTTTCCTAAAGCACTGTGCAAATAGGTGAAAGAGTGAGGACTGAAGCACAGGGCATTCTGATTCCAAGCCCTATCTTTTTAACAAGCAACACTGGCTAGAAATATTCTAAAGTGGAAAAACAGAACCCTAGCATCCTGAGAACATACGTGTACTTCTTACCCAGGGTTATTTCTGTTTGAGGTGAGAGAGGCCTACACCCCTTCCTACGGGCATTTGTTACATCCAGTGGTCCCTTCTGAGCCACAGCGTAAGTTCCAAGGCCTCCAGGGGATGCCTGAAACCACTTATGGTACCAAACCCCATATATAATTTGTTTTTCCTATACATACATTCCTATGGTAACATTTAATTTGTAAGTTAGGCACAATAAATAAAAAAAGTAGAACACTTAAGTTATGCAAATGGCTTTGGGGTCATTATTAAAAGTGTCCCTTGAACATAAGCACTGTGAAACCATGACTGTCAGTCTGATAACCTAGGTGCTCCTCAGGGAGTCACGGAGAGGTGGCATACACAGCCTGGACAAGCTGGACAAGGGGCGATTTACAAGGGATGGAAGGGGGTGACATGAAATCAACATGCTACTCACAGAAAGGCACATGATTTAAAACATGAATTATTTATTCCGGAAATTTTCCATTTAATATTTTTGGATGATGGTTGAACACAGGTAGCCGAAACCACAAATAAAGGGGGGGAGGGGCTACATGGACAATATATACATTTAGGTACTAACCTCATAGAGAATATGAAGGAGAGAAATGTTAGCCGATAAATCTGAATACCAGATTGTTGTCAGTCTTTGTGGTACTGCTATGAATCTAAATATAACATGCTAGTAATGATAATTTATGACCAAAATAAAAACCTGACCATCATACTGGCACAAAAATGATGATCTCTGAGACTTAGTTTTCTTCTTTTGTCAAAATGCAGAGTGAATACCTAGAAGTTGGCATGGCAAAGTGACACCATATGTTTGTAAATTCTGTAGTGGCGGCGATGGGTGGCTGCCTCCTGTGAAATAGCTACTATAGATATTGCTGGGGGAATGTAAAAGAAGGCACTGTAAACAGTTGTGCACTGTTTAGGTGGACATAACCCACTTTTTAAAAAGTGGATAGGAATTATTTATAATGCCTGGATTACAAATGCCCAACATGAATATTGTGAGCATGTGTAGGTTTGTGTACATTTGTGTCTGTGTTTTTATACTGAGAAAAAAGAGGCAATCCTAAAATTATGCCTATTCTATATGAACTCCCATATCATTCAGAAGGACTTTAGACCAGCTAAATTGTAAGTTCAAGCTGCTCACTTCCATGTAATTTAGCTTATATCTTGCCATGAAAGTATGACTAACGTTGAATCACTGTTAGCCATAGAAATTCATCTTTCTCCACTTACTTACTTGACCTTGTTAGTTGGCCATGATTCAAGAGCCTATAGCCTATACCTTTCTTTTAAAAAAAAATATATATATAATATATATTTTTATTTATTTATTTATTTATTTATTTATTTATTTATTTATTTATTACAGAGAGGAAAGGAGAAGGATAGAGAGCTAGAAATATTGATGAGAGAGAAACATTGACCAGCTGCCTCCTGCACCCCCCACACCAGGGATGTGCCCGCAACCAATATCGAACCTGGGACCTTTCAGTCCATAGACCAACGCTCTACCACTGAGCCAAACCGGTTTCAGCCTATAGCCTATACCTTTCATAAAATGTAATCAGACCTACTACTAGTTAACTATATATATGTTTAATTAAGTTTATTAGGGTGAAATTGGTCAAGATGATCATATTGTATTTTAAGTCAATACTAGTGATT